ACAGTATAAAATGTATATTTATATATAAAAGCAAAATACCATTCACGCATCATCACAAAATCCCCAGAACTGTAAAGCCTACAAACTTGAAATTTGGCACATATCTTCCTCTTGGCTTCAAGGTGCTCATTAAGAAAGGATTTTTCCAAATGACCATCAGAGCATTAGTATTTCCTATATTACGATTATTATTAACACGCTCTGATGCTACTCCTCCCCACCTGAAAAGAAATCTGTTCCAAAGGCCAAACACAAGCAGAGGAGGGGAGTTTCAGTTTCAGTTTCACAGGACCAAGCAGCTTTAGTACGGAACAGTTGAGCTAAGCCACATCCAGGATCCTTGCTGTCTCCTTCTTGCTCACACAGCAAATACTGTTTCAGTTTCCAAACAGCCCTCAACTCTCTCACATACTGACAGGATGCTAGCCAGATGAATTTCAGATGGATGCTGGTAGGCAGAGGCAGAATATCCCGCCCCCACTATTTTCCTCCCCCAAAACTAAGCCCCACCACATAGTTTCGTAGTGAAGCACAGGTATCCAGCTAGTATTACATATTCTGATGATTACATAGTAAACTACTTTAGTAAAGCCACCAGGCCTTTGGAATTGTGGAAATTAATCAAGGAGAGAAGCAACCTAGAACTAAGGAGGAATTTGCTGACAGTTAGAACTACAGTGAAACAGTAGAGCAGCTTGCCTCTAGAATTTGTGAATGCTCCAACACTGGAAGTTTTTGAACAGACTGGAAAGCCATGTTTGTGAAATGGTGTAGGGTTTCCTACCTAAGCAAGGGGTTGGACTAGAAGACCTCCAAGGTCCCTTCCAACTCTGTTATTCTGTTCTGTTCTGTTCTAGTCTAGTCTATATTCTATTCCATTCCATTCCTATTCCCTATTCCCTATTCCCTATTCTAGTCTAGTCTAGTCCATTCCATTCCAGTCCGTTCTGTTCCATTCCGTTTCAGTCCATTCCATTCCATTCCATTCTATTCCGTTCTGTTCCGTTCCGTTCCATTCCATTCCATTCTGTTCCGTTCCAGTCCATTCCATTCTATTCCGTTCTGTTCCGTTCCGGTCCATTCCATTCCATTCTATTCCATTCCGGTCCATTCCGTTCCGGTCCATTCCAGTCCATTCCATTCTATTCCATTCCATTCCGGTCCATTCCAGTCCAGTCCAGTCCAGTCCAGTCCGTTCTATTCCAGTCCAATCCAGTCCAGTCTAGTCCAGTACAGTCCATTCCGGTTTGGTCCGGTCCGGTCCATTCCATTCCATTCCAGGCCAGGCCAGACCAGGCCATATATTCTGTTCTGTTCTGTTCTATTCTGTTCTGTGCTGTGCTGTGCTGTTCTAGTCTAGTCCAGTCCTCATCTTATGACCAGAATCAAGCACAAAATTTCTGTTGCTAAGTCAGACATTTGTTAAAGTGATTTCCCCCCCCCTTTTATAATGTTTCTTGCCACAGACATTAAGCGAATCATTGCAGTTGTTCAATGAGTCACACATCTGTTAAGTGAATGTGGCTTCCCCATTGACTTTGCTTGTCAGAAGAAGGTTGCAAAAGAGGTTCCCATGACCCCAGGACCAGACATGGGATTCCAAAATTTTAACGACTGGTTCTGTGGGCATGGCTAGGTGGGCGTGGCCATGTGACTGGGTGGGCATGGCTTCTTCTTCTTTTTGCAGCAAACCCCTCCCCCCCCCATTTTGTCTTCTGGGCCTCAGGGAAGCCTCCTAGGCGAAGCAGTAAGACAGCGAGGGGGGTCCTGGCACAGCTGATCATTGGAACAGCTGATCGTCAGAAGAATAAAACCTTAAGGAGTGACTGGGCGAGGGAGAATGCAGTCAGTGATGTCACGCATGCGCACGATGTCACACATGCACGATGAGTACTGACTGGGTGGGCAGAAAGGGTCAGGGTCAGCCATAGACACAATTTGCTGGTTCTCCGAACTGAATAGAATCATAACAACCGCTTCTATAGAACCGATCCAAACCGGTAGAATCCCACCCCTGCCTGGGACCATCATAAATATGAGACAATTTCTAAGCAGCTGAATTTTGATCACATGACCATGGGAATGCTGCAACGGTTGTGTGCAAAATGGTCAAGTCGCTTTTTTCAGTGCCCTTTGAATGGTCACTAAATGAACTGTTGTAAGTCAAGGACTACCTGAATGAGAATTTCTTCTTCTGGTACTTTCCGATACCAGAGAATAAGGGAAAGCACTACAAATTCTTATTCTTGTAGCATTTAGGTGGCACTTCGTGTGCATCTCAGGCAAAGTTCAGACTTTTTGCTTTTTATCTTTGAGATATCGTATCGCTCAAGGGTTCATATCTGTGGTGGAATGGATGATAAGTGTGGAATTGGATCAGCCTCTGTCCCTCCTTGGCAGGGCAGGCTGTAAAACAGATTCACCCAGGATCAACTCATAAAAAAATAGCTGAAAATGGTGTATAGCCCAGGATTCCACCATCATAACAGGATCATAAAAATGGAAATGATCGGGTATGATTCAGACTCCGTCTGAATGGTAGGAAAGCAGCTTGAGTTAAAAATTGAACATTCCTTTAAAATATGTTAAATATAACTTGGGAAGTTTTCCTTCTTCTGAAAAGAAAACGTGGATTACAGGCAGTAATTTTTCTTTTTAAAATGGATTTCATCACTCGGAAACCTGACATCTCAAATTAGTTAATTGAGACACCAAATTCTGTCACTAAGTCAGACTTTTCTGAAGTGGCTTTTCACCCCATTTTACAATGTTTCTTGACCCGAAATGATGTGAATCATTGCAGTTGTTAAATTAGGGACATGGTTGTTAGGGTTGGGGTGTGGGAAGTGTTTGAGGAAGGAAGGAGCCTCCTTTGTTTTCTGGAAAGTAATATGCTTTTGGGCTTGTGTGATTCTGTTCTGGTAACTTTACAGTAAAGACGTGGTGGCACGGTGGCTTAATATGCTGAGCTTGTTGATAAGAAAAATCGGCAGTTTGGTGGCTCGAATCCCTAGCGCTGTGTTAACAGAGTGAGCTCCCATTATTTGGTCCAGCTTCTGCCAACCTAGCAGTTCGAAAGCACATAAAAAATGCATGTAGAAAAATAGGGACCCATTTGGTGGGAAGGTAACAGCGTTCTGTGCGCCTTCTGCATTTAGTCCTGCCAGCCATATGACCACGGAGACGTCTTCGGACAGTGCTGGCTCTTCTTCGACTTTGTAACGGAGATGAGCACCACCCCCTAGAGCCAGAAACGACTAGCACTTATGTGCAAGGGGAACCTTTACCTTTACTAAATCATAGTTTATCGTCAATAATCATGGTTCTGGTTTCTTGTCTGGACTATCTTGAAGGATTTTCCCTATGGGGAAAATCAGGACTTCTCTTCATCTGGCCAAATTCACCGTTGGAATTTGGCAACAGGTACAGCAAAATCTATGCTGAACTGGTTTTAAACTTGTTGAGAGTCTGAAGGAAAACACTTAAATTAAGCTATGAAGAAGAACCCTATGCTTGTTTACCAGAAGGGTTATCCAGGATTTCCCTAAGTGGCTTGAGACCCTTCATTATGTGGCTATTTTGGCTGTAAAAATGAAAGGCATCATAATTTCACCAGTTCTTAAAATAGGAGAAAGAAAATAGGATTGGAAACAAGCAAGCAGTGCCCTCTTGTGGAAGATGGCATCTTACACTATTAAGTGTTACCATGTAAAGTATAAAAATATAGATCTGGCTTTATTGTACAAAATAATTAAGGGATATAAATCTGACATCAGGATTCAAAAGGAGGACAAAATCGTAGAGCATTTGACACTTTGAAACAGATTTCAAAGTATTCTGGAACAATCAAGCAAAAGACTGTTAAACTCATGTACATCAAAAGGTTTCAGATTATCTCCCAAGGTCTTAATAAACACAATGGATTTTATTGTAATTGTTAATTGATAATGTATTTGTAATCTGTTCTATGTTTATTTTGCAGCTCCATAACTATTCTTCCTTCTTTCTTTTCATCCTCATCTCCATTTAAATCTTTCAGCCGTTTAGCTATTCCACGCATCTGATGAAGTGATCTATAATTCGGAAATAGTAATAGAATTCTTTATTGGCCAAGTGTGATTGGACACAAAGGAATTTGTCTCTGGTGCAAAGGCTCTCAGTGTACATAAAAAGAAAAGATACATTCGTCAAGAGTCAAGAATCATCAGGTACAACACTTAATAGTCATAGGCTACAATAAGCAACCAAATCATACTAGGAAACAGTCAAGATTGGATCCTGCAACATTATCTTGGGACATGTATATTTGCCTTCATTTGTGAAAAGAAATGTTTGGGGTGGTTAAAAAAATAGAAAATTTGCTAGGAGGAGGAGGAAGAGGAAAAAGAGGTGAAAGGAAGGGAGGACAAGGAGGAAGGGAGGGAGGGAGGAAGAGAAAGAAGGAGGGAAGAAGGAAGAAAAGGGAGGAAGGAAGATGAGGGGAAGGAAGGAAAGAAGGAAGGAAGACGGAGAAGGTGGAAGGAAGGAGGGGAAAGGAAGGACAGAAGGAATGAAGGAAAGGAAGGAAGAAGGGCAAGGAGGAGGTGGAAGGAAGGACAGAAGCAAGGAAAGGAAGGAACAAGGTGGGAGGGAGGAAGAAAGGAAGGAAAGGGGGCAAAAAGAAGAAAATAAAGAGAGAAAAGGAAAGGAGGGAGGAGGAAGGAAGGGAAGGGGAAGGAGGACAAAGGGAAGAAAAGAAAGAGATAACAGGAAAGAAGGAGGGAGGAGGGAAAGAAGAAAAGAAGGGGAAGGATGGAGGACAAGGAGAAAGAAGGGAGGAAGGGGACAAAGAGAAGAAAAGAGATAAAAGGGAAGAAGGGGGAGGAGGAAGGAAAGAAGAAGAAAGGAAGGAGTGAGGGAGGAGGAAGAAAGGAAAGAAGGGAGGAAGGAGGAGGTTGGAGGAGAAAAAGGAAGCCCCACCCTCTCATACTTCCTCCTTCCGGTCTGAGCCCGGCCCTGGCCCCGCCCTCTCCCACTACCGCGCCTGCGCGAGTCCTCCGGGGCGTCCTTGGTGCGCCGCTGCCGGGTTGGGGGGGTGTTGCTGCTGCCGCCACCGCCATGCAAAGCTGGAGCCGCGTCTGCTGCGCCCTCGCCCAGGTAGCGCCAACTGGGGCCCGGCCGGGGTGGTGGTGGTGGGGAAGATGGAGAAGCCGCGGGGCTCGCGGCCTGCGCTGCCGCCCCATCCACGTCCCCTCGGGGCCACGGGAGGCGTGTGGGGCTGGCTGGCTCTGCAAAGCCCGCTGGAGCCGGGCGGGTGGGCTGCCTTGGAGCCTTGCAGAGCGGACTCATCCAGACCGGGGGCGGGGGGTGGGGGGCGGCTCGGGTTGAGGGTTCAGACGTGGATTTGACACGTGTGCAAATAAGAGGCAGGACTGGGTGGCCCGGGGGCGCTTCTTTGCAGAAAGTGGGGGGGGACGACACGGGGGTGCAAGGTGGATACAAGGACTGTCCGGTCTTGGATTTTAGCTCCCAGAACTCCCCAGCCAGCATGGCAGAGGAAACAGCTGGGAGGGACCTTAGAGGTCTTCTAGTCCATCCCGCCCCTCAAGCAGGAGGCCCCTTGGCAGATAAGTGGCCCTCCGGTCTTTTCTTCAAAGCCTCCAGGGATGGAGTACCCACAACTTCTGCAGTCAATCAATCAATCAATTAGAATAGAGCTGGAAGGAACCTTGGAGGTCTTCTAGTCCAGCGGTTGCCAACTGGACAAAACTTTGGTGGTCCACAGAGAAATGTCACCCTCAGAGCATCCCCCAAAGCAAGTAATCCAGGCTGCGCAGGAACACAAGGCCTGTGGGAACTCTTCCCACTCACTCCTTACCTTGCAAACATGCCTACTAGGTTGCTATTTTTCCTTTTTCCGACCATCAGCTGTTCTTCTGTGCCAGGAGATTTAGATTAGCTAGAAAGCAGGAAATTGTTGGATTTCTTGCTTTCTAGCTAGTCTTTAGATCATCGACTGTGCTTTTAAGCACAGCCGAACCTCCCTTAGGACTGAAGGTTGTATTATTCAGTTGCAGACTCAGGTAGCCAATGGCAGAAAGATAGATCTCTGAGTTGAATCTGTGATTCTGGGAGCAACTCAATCTGCCTGCCGCCTTTGCCTGCTTTTGGGTAAAAGTTGCTCTTTTTAAAAATAAATAATTCAATGTTTACATAAATATTTATAATATTTACATACAAGCCATGCCCAGCTAGTCACATGACCACCAAGCCACACCCACAAATTAGGCCACACCCACAGAACCGGTTGTTAAGAAATTTGAATCCCACCCCTGCCTCTGTGGTTTGTGTGTGTATGAGAGGGAGATTAGAAGTCCCCCCTCTTCCTTTCCCCCTCTCTCCCTCCCCCCTTTCTCTTTCCCTTCCCCATCTCTCTTCCCTCCCTCCCTTTCTCTCCCCCTCTCTCTCCCTTTCTCTCCCTTTCCACCTCTCCCTCCCTCCCTCCCTCTCTTTCTCTCCCCCCTTTCTTCCTCCCTCCCTCTCTCTCTTCCTCCCTCCCTCCCTTTCTTTCTCTCCCCCTCTCTTTCTCTCTCCCCACTCTCTCTTTCTCCCTCCCTCCCTCTCCTTCTCTCCCTCCCCCTCCCTCCCTCTCTCTCTTTTTCTCTCTCTCTCTTTCTCTCTCTCTCTCTTACCAAAATCAGCAAGCCACCATCAGTCAAAAGTCATATTAGTGGTCCCTGGTATTTAAAATTATGAGTTTGATGGTCCCCGAGGTCCAAAAGGTTGGCCACTTCTCTAGCAGGAAACCCCTAATCCAAGGGTCTTCAATCTTGGCAAGGTTAAGACTTGTGGACTTCAACTCCCAGAATTCCTGAGCTAACATGACTGGAGGAAGAATTCTGGGAGTTGAAGTCCACAAGTCTTCAAGCTGTCAAGTTTGAAGACCCCTGACTTATACCATTCCCAACAAATGGCTGTCCTATCTTTTCTTAAAATCCTCCTGAGAGGGAGCGATCACAACTTCTGGAAGCAAGCTGTTAATCCATCAGAAGAGAGCTGAAAGAGTTCAAAGAGCTGTGGTAGAGCTCAATTATATTCAGATAATTTATGCAAAACAATTGACACACTATCCAAGCTGCTTTTCCTACGCCAAAAGCAAAACAACAGAGTTGGAAGGGACCTTTGGAGGTCTTCTAGTTCAACCCCCTGTATTTCAGACAGGTGGCTGTCCAATCTCTTCTAAAAAAAAACCTCCAGTGATGAAGGCCCCACAACTATGAGAACTGGATTGTTCTGCAATTTTTTTTAAAAAAATGAAAGCTATCCAGTGTTTTTCAGTGCAGTATATTGTTTCATAATGTGATTAAACTAAGCTGGACTTCTGTAGGAATTTTTTATTTGCCTCTCTGATGTTTGAGATAGTGGGAAATAATAGTTTTTTGATAATATTTTTCTGCTGTATAAACATATTTGAATGTGGCCTTGAGTTGTATTGCAAGGACCGAACGTCAAGGAAGTTTTGGCTTATAAATTTATTGGCAAATAATAGACTTTGCAGTCAGAAGCAGGCTTAAGAATGGCTAATCACTTCAGCTTTTATTTCCAATTTTTTCTCTTAGCAGAGTGTAATAAACAGAAATATTACTTAAGATACAGAAAACAGGAATCAAGTTTTTGCACAATTCATTGTATGGATATGTCATTCTTTCTGAGGGAATTTAGATGCCGAGGGAGACAAACATTGAAGATTTTTTCCCTGTTTAAGAATTGCAAAGAATAAAGGTAGATGTATAAACCACAGCTGAAAGAGAAGGATAAAAAATGTAGAGTATAACAAGTGAAAATCTTTTGGGCCTTGCTATATTCTATCTATCTATCTATCTATCTATCTATCTATCTATCTATCTATCCACACATATGTACATATATACATACATACATACATACATATTCATTCAGCTTTGTTCAGGTATTTTCCCATGTCATTATAGTTGTGCTTTTAAAGTTGTAGCAACGTTTCGGCAGAATCTCGCTACAACTTTAAAAGCACAACTATAATGACGTGGGAAAATACCCGAACAAAGCTGAATACCATACATATAAATACCCGCAAAAACTTAAGAAAATATATATATGTGTGTGTGTGTGTGTGTGTGTAGGTCTAGGTGTGTTCAGGTCTTTTCCCATGTAAGATTAAGAGTATCTTGGCGACATTTTGGCGAGGTCTCACTCGCCATCCTCAGGCTGGTGCTTTCGGCTTTGTGCCAGTGTAAGCAGTGTGTGATCAGAGTTGCCGTCTCTCTATAAATACTGGTGGTGGGGGCTGGTGTGCTGGGCTGGTTGACTGCGCTGCTGCCTCTTGATTGGTTGATGGAGTTGATGTTGGTATAATGGGCTGTGTGATGGCCTTGTGAGTTTTGTTGTGGATTCAGGATATCTCCAACCAGCTAAACACCTCATGGAACTAGCAGAACACTGCTTAACCAACACATATTTCATATACAAAGGACAAAGATACAAGCAAATTGAAGGAGCCCCTACGGGATCACCACTGTCACCCGTCATTGCAAACCTGTTCGTGGAAGAATTCGAATCCAGAGCCCTGGCTAATGCCACCCACAGACCCAAACTATGGTTAAGATACATCAATGACATTTGTGATTTGGCCCCATGGAAACCTAAACAATTTCCTAACGCACCTAAACAGCACACACCCCAAAATCAAGTTTACCATGGAAACAGAAACAAACAAACAAACTACCATTCCTAGATGTACTAATCTACAAAAGAACAGGACACCATATACCAGAAGAAAACACACACCAACTGCTACCTCAATGCCCAATCCCACCACTACCCAGCACAGATTAACTCCGTGGCCAAAACACTAATCACCAGAACTGAACGCCTGGCAGACAAGACACACATAAAGACTGAACTATGCACCCTGACTAAAGTACTGACTGTCAACGGCTTCCACAAAAGCAAAATCACCGGCTTGATCCACAAACACACACTGAGACATAATGGAGACCTAGAAGATGAACAGACCTATGGAACAGCTGTCCTGCCCTACCTAAGAGGTACTACAGACAAAATCAGTAAGATACTACACAGGCATTACATCAAGACTGCCTTCAAAACAGACAGAAAAATAGCCATCCTTAGAAACCCCAAAGATAAAATTGACCTGGAAAACCAAGGCATATATGAAGTCCCCTGTGCATCATGCCCTGCCACATGCATTGGACAGACCAATAGAAGAATAAGTACCCACCTGGATGAACACAAAAATGCAGTAAAAAAGCTGGAACACACTTCTTCACTAGTCCAACACATGAAAGCCACAGGTCATAGCATCAACTTCAATGGCACCAAAACCCTAGCCACTGTAGAAAACCCCAGCCACAGAATTATCAGAGAAGCCATAGAGATTGAAAAAAGACCTGAAAGCATGAATAGAAGAGATGGTTCCACCAGACTGTCAATTATTTGGAAGCCTGCACTCACAAACAAAAAAATCTCCACACCACAAGCCAGGCAAACACCTGGGCATAAACAGACTCCCCCTGATATCTCCAGCTCAAACACACCCCAACCAGGCACCCAGATGAAACCTAGCTTCCTAATAAATGATAGCCATCCGTTTACTTGGAGCCAAGCTGCACTAAAAGCCTCCAATACAGGAAACACAATGTTGCCAGCCAATCAAGACAAAAAAAGCTACAAAATAGACAGAAGATATTAGATATATACAGAAGATATCAAGCAGAACACAGCAAACTCCAAGACCAATAAACACAGACCAAGACTCCCAACCAATCAGGATGAAGAAAAAAACATTCTGGCACAGCAGTAGGCTAGCCCCAAATTTAAAACGGAAACAACTGTAAAAGTCTGACTCATAGATGAACACAATACAGAAGCCTGATGATGGCAGATGAGATTCTGCCGAAACATTGCTACAACTTTAAAAGCACAACTATAATGATGTGGGAAAATACCCGAACAAAGCTGAATACCATACATGTAAGTACCCACCAAAACTTAAGAAAACATAGTACGTACATACATACACACACACACACACACACACACACACAGAGCTCAAAAAAATAAAGGTAACACAAAAATAAGACATCCTAGATCTGAATGAATGAAATATTCTTATTAAATACTTTGTTCATCACATAGTTGAACGTGCTGACAACAAAATCACACAAAAATTATCAATGAAAATCAAATTTAGCAACCCCTGGAGGTATGGATTTGGAGTTACACTCAAAATTAAAGTGGAAAAAAACACGACAGGCTGATCCAACTTTGATGTAATGTCCTTAAAACAAGTCAAAATGAGGCTCAGTAGTGTGTGTGTGTCCTCCACGTGCCTGTATGACCTCCCTACAACGCCTGGGCATGCTCCTGATGAGGTGGTGGATGGTCTCCTGAGGGATCTCCTCCCACACCTGGACTAAAGCATCCCCCAACTCCTGGATAGTCTGTGGTGCAACGTGGTGTTGGTGGATGGAGTGAGACATGATGTCCCAGATGTGCTCAATTGGATTGGGGAACGGACGGGCCAGTCCATAGCATCAATGCCTTCGTCTTGCAGGAACTGCTGACACACTCCAGCCACATGAGGTCTAGCATTGTCTTGCATTAGGAGGAACCCAGAGCCAACCGCACCAGCATATGGTCTCCCAAGGGGTCTGAGGATCTCATCTCGGTACCTAATGGCAGTCAGGCTACCTCTGGCGAGCACATGGAGGACTGTGCGGCCCCCTAAAGAAATGCCACCCTACACCATTACTACTCACTGCCAAAACGGTCATGCTGGAGGATGTGGCAGGCAGCAGAACATTCTCCACGGCGTCTCCAGACCCTGTCACGTCTATCACATGTGCTCAGTGTGAACCTGCTTTCATCTGTGAAGAGCACAGGGCACCAGTGGCGAATTTGCCAATCTTGGTGTTCTCTAGCAAATGCCAAACATTCTGCACGGTGTTGGGCTGTAAGCACAACCCCCACCTGTGGACGTTGGGCCCTCATACCACCCTCATGGAGTCTGTTTCTGACCGTTTGAGCAGCCCACATGCACATTTGTGGCCCGTTGGAGATCACTGTGCAGGGCTCTGGTAGTGCTCCTCCTGTCCCTCCTTGCACAAAGGCGGAGATAGCGGTCCTGATGCTGGGTTGTTGCCCTCCTACGGCCTCCTCCACGTCTCCTGATGTGCTGGCCTGTCTCCTGGTAGCGCCTTCATGCTCTGGACACTACGCTGACAGACACAGCAAACCTTCCCACAGCTCGCGTTGATGTGCCATCCTGGATGAGCTGCACTACCTGAGCCACTTGTGTGGGTTGTAGACTCCGTCTCATGCTACCACTAGAGTGAAAGCACCGCCAGCATTCAAAAGTGACCAAACCATCAGTCAGAAAGCATAGGAACTGAGAAGTGGTCTGTGGTCACCACCTGCAGAACCACTCTTTTATTGGGGATGTCTTGCTAACTGCCTCTGCTTTCTACCTGTTGTCTATTCCATTTGCACAACAGCACGTGAAATTGATTGTCAATCAGTGTTGCTACCTAAGTGGACAGTTTGATTTCACAGAAGTGTGATTGTCTTGGAGTTACATTGTGTTGTTTAAGTGTTCCCTTTATTTTTTTGAGCAGTGTGTGTGTCTCTGTGGGTGTGGGTGTGTCTGTGGGTGTGTGGGTGGGTATATGTATGTACATACATATAAACTTATTCTTTTCTTCTTTTCCTCAAATTAGAGGGGCCATTTTAGCCGGATCCAGCATGGCTTACAAAGCATTTCAGCAGGACCTGTGAGAACTTATGCTGATCAAGGTAAATGTTACATAACTTTGAATTATATGGAAAAATTGGAATTCTTTGTTAATTGAATCCATAGTTCCTTCCAGGATGGAGTTTAACTGCATTACTGTTTTATTTGTTTACTAGCTCGAACCCCGCTCTTTGCTACGAAACTATGTGGTCGGGCTTAGTTTTTGGGGAGGAAAATAAGAGGGGGGAAATTGTGCCTCTGCCTATCAGCATCCATTGGTATGCATCTGGCTAGCATCCATCTGTGTGAGAGAGTTGAGGGCTGTTTGGAAACTGAAATAGTATTTCGTGTGTGAGCAAGAAGGAGACAGCAAGGAGCCCGGGTGTGGCTTAGCTCAACTATTCTGCACTAAAGCTGATTGCTGCTCTGAAACTGAAAGAGAAACTCCTCTGCTTGTGTTTTGCATTTGGAAGAGATTTCTTTTCAGGTGGGGAGTGGGAGTAGAACTCCTTAGCATCAGAGCATGTTAATAATAATAATATAGGGAATACTAATGCTCTGATGGTCATTTCAAAAAATCCTTTCTTAGTGAGCACCTAGAAGCCAAGAAGAAGATACATGCCAAATTTCAAGTTTGTAGGCTTTACGGTTCTGGAGATTTTGTGATGATGCATGTGTGGTATTTTGCTTTTATAGAGAGAGATTAAATTCTCATCCAGCTCTTTTGAGTTGCACCAGACACTGCCATCTGGCATTTACGCGTTTATATTACATATTCTGATGATCACATAGCAAAACACTGTAGTAAGGCCACTAGGCCTTTGGAACTGGCCTTCTCAATTTGTTACAAAGAAGTCTGATCCAAGGATTGTTTCTAATACAAGTATTCCTCGACTTACAACCATTTGTTTAGTGATGAGTCAAAGTTACCATGGTGCCGAAAAATAAGACTTATGGCTGTTTTCACACTTAAAACCGTTGCATCGCCAGGGTCATGTAATTCAAAATTCGGGCACTTGGCAGCTGGCTCGTATTTACAACGGGCTCGTGTGATTACATTTTGCGACATTCTGACAAAACAAAGTGAATGGAGGGAATCAGATTTGCTTAACAAACGTGTTATTAAGTTAACAACCTCCACAATTCACTTAATGACGGTGGCAAAGTTTGTAAAACGAGGCCAAACTCAACTGTCTCTCTTAGCAACAGAAATTTTTGACTGAATTGTGGTCATAAGTTCACACGTACACACACAGGTGTGCGCGCGCACACATACATACATACATTGGTCATACATACATTGGTCATACATACATACATACATTCCTGGTCATAACTTAAGGAATATAAAACTTTTATGTGGTCATAAGTTGAGGAATATAAATTTTTATGTGGTCATAAGTTGAATATAATTTTTTTTATGTGGTCATAAGTTGAGGAATACCTGTACAATGGAATATATATGTGGCTATTCACTTGTTTACCATATACCTTGAGAAAATAACAGACAATATATTCTGTAGCAATGGAGATATCTTCCTTTAGGTAGAGTTCTTTTTCCTGGCCATCTTTAAATATTTAATTTAAAAAAATTCTCTGCTTTTTGTTGTTCTAAAATTATATGGGTCTTTTTGCCAGTTGATGCTGATGTGACGGTCATCGGCTCTGGTCCAGGAGGCTATGTTGCTGCCATCAAAGCTGCCCAACTTGGCTTTAAGGTGAGCAAGCATGGTAAGATCCCTGGGTAATGTCTCAATACCCTGTTTCCCCGAAACTACGATCCACCCTGAAAGTAAGCCCTAGCTTGTTTTTTACACGTGTGCCCAATATAAGCTCTACCCACAAAATAAGCCCTAATTAAGATCCTGCTCACTCCAGAGTGCACGGATAAAAATTAAACTAGGGTGGAGATGGGGGTGGTAGAGCTGCCCTACTACTAACCTTTGGACAGTAGTAACCAGGCCTCACACACCCCAACACCTGCCTGGCCGGCCCATTTCTTCTGCAGCTGGCAAGGCTTTCCTGAAGGCCTTTAGAGCTGAGAACAAACCTCTGGATCGATCCAGAGCTCTGTTATTGGCTGCAGAGGCCTTCAGGAAAGCCTTGCCAGCCTCAGAAGAAGTTCCTGAAGGCCTCTGACAGTAAAAAAGAGGCTGGGGACGACACATGCAAGTGAGGTTAGTCAGTGGATGACATCCCCCGAAAATAAGACCTGGTGCCTTTTCTGGTGGCAAAAAAATAATAATAAAAAAGATAAAACGGGGTCTTATTTGGGGGGGAACACGGTAGTTTGGAAAAGTTTGCCAAAGTTCTTACCAACACGTGAAAGACTGGAAGTTTAGTCATTTTGCCTGCAGGTAGGAGGTGCTTAAATATGACGGACCTTCAGTGATACCCAGATTATAAGACCTTTGAAATAGAAACTCTGAGAATTGAATAATGTTCATTCACCTTTAGTTGGATTTGACTTCTAGTGTCAGAATGAAATACGATTATGGTTTCCTAGGGTTGCCTTTACTTTGAACATTAGGACAGGAGACCACCAGGGAATTTGAAGGCTGTAGACCAGAATGAGAAATTGGATAAAGCAGGCCAGAAGAAAATGCAGGGCAAGCCCATTCTCTCCCCAAGAAAATGGCCTAGATAAATCAAACCACAATCAAACTTAGTGTTCTGACCTAGGCTTCCCAAGATCATGAAGCCGACTCCTCATCCTGATAAAACCTCTTTTATTTAGGTTAAAGGGAATTCCTCTCCAGCAAAGTCCCGGCAAACAGTCTTTCATGAGATTTCACAACTACAGATCTTTATCAGGCTTGGAGAGTTGCCGGGTCAATATCTTCCAAATGCCATGCTGTAGTAGCAATTACTTGGCAAGGAGTCAGGAACAAATCTTCATCCTAATGAATTGAGCTAATTGTCTCCTGCAAACACCCCTCCCCTTTTGGTCCTCTTTGTTCCCTGTGGGGGGGGGAGTGGCATTCACCGTCCAATTGTGCTTTTACTTCCGAGTCAACCCTTGTTCCTTAATTGTTCCCTTCTCCTGGCAGCTCTCTGCATGCACACACTGGGAACAGGCTCCAGCTGTTCTTCTGCCTCACTGCTGCCCGGCTCTGAAGTCAACTGATAACTGTCAGATGGCTCTGGCCACATCTCTGCCTCTGACACAGAGCCCTCAGAGCCTTCCCCAGACTCCAGGACTGGCTCATGTTCTTCCCCAACCTCCTCACTGTCCAAGTCTGCTGCCAGCTCTGCTCTCCGCTAGTGGGCCACAACACTTAGCTAGACTAAACTCTTTCTCTTTGAAAATTAGTTCCTCGGTAATGCTTGTCTAACTCTGCCACTCAGATGCAGTTTTTGTGTTGTTGTATTGCATCCCGAAAGGAAATTTTACTTATTTTATTAATCAAATTTATTGGCTGCCCGTCTTACCACAGGGTTGGTTTTTGGACTAATTGTAACAGGATTGTCCTCAGAAGATGAATCCAGATGCCAGGTTTCTGTATGAAAAATTCTGTTCAAATTATTATGTTTGAAAGCTGTCTTGTTCAGAAACATGAGAGATAGAAACAGGGCAGATTATTTTCTTTTTATAACCCCCATTGGCCATTTTATCCAGTTTTAATTCCCTGTGGTTACTTTGCAAAAACTGCAGGACTTAAGTTTTTTTTCCTAAGGAATCTTTGATGTTCTAAATCTGATTTTTTTTTTCTCTCAGACGTCTCATTACCAAACTTGGTAACCTCATCAATGCTGCAAGGGAATGTTTTTCTATGTGCAAAAATACTTCTAGCCCCTCCTGAAGTCCCAGGAGTGCATTTTCGGCAGCAAAACTTAACAGTCTCTTGCTTTTAAAACCCTAGACTGCCTGCGTGGAGAAAAACGAAACCCTGGGTGGGACCTGTTTGAATGTTGGATGCATACCTTCTAAGGTAGGTTCGGGATTTGTCTTTCCCAGGGGTCAGCAACCTTAAACACTCAAAAAGAGCCACAAAGTTCCTAACTGGAGGCCCCCCCCAATTCAATTCTGGAGCCGACCAGAAGTCTAGTTCCTCCACCATAGAGTCTCCTCCTAGCAGGGCATCCTTTTTTCTCTGCCGACCGGAAGTCCGGTTCCCCCACCATCGAGTCTCCTAGCAGAGTGTCCTTTTTTCTCTGCCGACTGGAAGTCCGGTTCCCCATCCCCCCATAGAGTCTTTTCCTAGCACGGTGTCCTTTTTCCTCTACCTGTCCTAACCAAAAGCCCTATCAATTGTGGAGGTGATCGTTCTGACCAAGGCTTATTGAGACACTAACAAACACATGTTAGTTCCAAACCCTTTTTTTTATTTCGATGGCTGTGAATTATATATGTCAATCACAGCCCATAATGTGTCTCAAACAATTCCACCGAAGTCTGCCAAAGTCCTCCTGATAAGCACGCACCTTTATCTTTCTTGAAATGTTGCCAACAACTAAATTGCCAATTAGCTGTACACGGCCAAATGGAGCACAGAATCAACACGGAGCTTCAGATTTCAAACCGACCAGAATGAGCATAGTTGCTTCCTGCAAAGGCTCATGTCCCTTTGCTCCTCCTTTATGTCTTATGGGAGGAGCCAATCACCTCCAAGCCTTACTCCCGAGTCGCCTCTTTTGTCTTACTTGCTCTTGTTTTCTGGCAGCTCTGTGCATGTGCGTACTGGGAACAGGCTCCCGCTGTTCCTCTGCCTCACTGATGTCAGATTCTGGAGGCTCCGGAGTCAGCACACAACTCCCAGATGGTCCTGGCCCCATCTCTGTGTCGGACGCAGATCCCTCGTCTGAGTCCTCCCCAGACTCCCGGACTGGCCTATGTTCCTCCCCACTGTCTGACTGCTGCCGTCTCCGCAGGCTGCTGGCGGACCACAACAGTGACCAGAAGACCCAACCCTTGCCATAGAGTCTCCTCCTGGCATGTTGTGCTTTTCCTCTCCCTAACGGGAAGCCCCTCTCAAAAGTGTGGGACCGACGAGTGACACAAAGTGATGAAAGAGCCACATGTGGGTCCAGAGCCGTGGGTTGCCAACTCTTGGTCTTTCCCATCCTATCGGAGACAAATTATCAAAAATTTTGCTCCTTGAAGAATGATGGTTAAAATGGTACATTTAGAAGCTGTGAAGTGCTCAGAGGTAGCCCTCCACTTAACGACCACAATGGAGCCCCCCAAATTACGCTGTTAAATGAGAAATTTTCTAAAGTGTGGTTTGTCCCATTTTACGGGTCTTCTTGCCATACTTGGTTGTTAAGTGAATCCAGCTTCCCCATTGATTTTGCTTGTCAGAGGGTTGCAAAAGGAGAATCACGTGTGTCCCTGCGACCGTCATAAATATGAACCAGTTGCCAAAGCCTCTGAATTTTGATCATGGGGATGCTGCAATGGTTGTTAAGTGTGAAAAATGGTCATGAGTCTCTTTTTTTTCAGTGCCATGGTAACTTCAAACAGTCAGTAAATCGACTGTTGTAAAACCAGGCCTACCTGTAGTTTATGAGTTGCACTGTGGTTGTATTCGCTAGCCGTCTTGCTGTTTGTTACACTCCCAAATATATGGGGTGTATGTGCGTGAAGAAGCTTAGTACAGAGACAGTATTGAGTGGACTGAATGACTACTTAAGATAAGACAAGACACCTCAAATATTATATATATAAAAGCGAAATACCACTCACGCATCATCAAGAAATCTCCAGAACCATAAAGCCTACAAACTTGAAATTTGCCATGTATGTTCCTCTTGGCTTCTAGGTGCTCACTAAGAAAGGATTTTTCCAAATGACCCTCAGAGCGTTTAGAGTATTTCCTATATTATTATTATTATTAACACGCTCTGATGCTAAGGAATTCTACTCCCTCTCCCCACCTGAAAAGAAATCTCTTCCAAATGCAAAACACAAGCAGAGGAGTTTCGGTTTCAGTTTCAGTTTCAGAGCAGCAACCAGCTTTAGTACAGAACAGTTGAGCTAAGCCACGCCTAGGCTCCTTGCTGTCTCTTCCTTGCTCACACATGAAATACTGTTTCAGTTTCCAAACAGCCCTCAACTCTCACACAGTGACAGGACGCTAGCCAGATGAATACCAATGGATGCTGGTAGGCAGAGGCAGAATTTTTTTCCCCCTTATTTTCCTCCCCCAAAACTAAGCCCAATCACATAGTTTCGTAGTGAAGCATGGGTATCGAGCTAGTATTAAATATGGAAGTGCTGCCTTGAAGCTATGAACAACACATAATCAAAGTTTTAAGCACTTTACCTGGCTGTATAGGACTAGTTATTTTAAATGCACTTGTTTTTTTAATGAGACATTTTCTGGATAGTTTGTGTATTTGATCGAAATCTGCTTTATATTACAGGCCTTGTTAAACAATTCACACTTGTACCATTTGGCTCATGGGAAAGACTTCGCTAGCAGGGGGATCGAAAGTGAGTATGCCAGTGAACTATATAACTCCTGCTAAATTTATTCCATTTACTTATTTGTATCCCACCTTTATTATTTTTACAAATAACCCAAGGTGACAAATGCACACAATGCGCCTTCCTCCTCCTCTTACCCCCCCCACAACAACCCTGTGAGGTGACTTTTCCTCTTTCTAGCTCTACCTACCTACCTACCTACCTACCTACCTATATATTTTTTATTTATATCTTCTTTCCCTATCTCCCTTCCTTCCTTCTCTCCCTCCTTCTTTTTCCTACCCCCCTTCCCTCCCTCCCTTCTTTACTTCCTTTCTTGTCCTTCCTTCTTTCCTTCCTTGTCCTTCTTTCCTCCCTCTCTCCCTTCATTCTCTCCCTCCTTCTCTGTTTCCTTCCTTCCTTCCTTCCTTCCTTCCTTCCTTCCTTTTCCCTTCCTTCCCTTCCTTCCTTGTCCTCCCTCCCTCCCTTGTCTTCCTTTCCATCCCCTTCTTCCCTTTTTTCCTTCTTTCCTTGTCTTTCCTTTCTTGTCTTTCCTTGTCCTTCCTTCCTTCCTTCTTTCTTCCTTCCTTCCTTCCTTCCTTCCTTCCTTCCTTCCTTCCTCCCTCCCTCCCTCCCTCCCTCCCTCCCTCCCTCCCTTCCAGCTACGTTTGTATTGCAATGTTTAATTGTTGAGTGAACTCCCTTTAAGATGTGTGATGCCCAAGACTAACCGACTCCTTCCCATTCATAATTTGTATTTCAACAGTTACAGGTCTCAGGTTGAATTTAGAGAAAATGATGGAACAGAAGAGCGGTGCGGTGAAAGCTTTAACAGGAGGCATCGCCCACTTGTTTAAACAAAATAAGGTACCCTTTTGATAAAAACACACATGGGCTTTCGTTTGCATTATCCCTAGTTATTAAGGCATTTTACACCTCTTTAATCTGCTGGGGAAGGATAAATAATAAAGGGGAAAAAAGGAGTTCCCTACAACTCCATTTAGTAACTGAACAGCTTAGAAAAATTAAGACAGATCTATTAAAAGTGTTTTTTAAATATTTTTTCCATCAAAAAACCCAAAAGAAATTCATCTTCCAGATCTCTCATTTCCGAAGGGAAAGCATATCAATTCCATAGCTACAGGGCGGGTTGTTTTTCTTATAGTAAATGACGAGTTAGAACAAACCGTCTGATTTATATTTTGATTTTCAAACATCCCTTTGTAAGAAATGATCATATCTCAGGTAGTCTCAATGTCAGGGCTCCGGCAGTTACCCCCATTTAAATCATGAGTCTTGAGCCAAACTTCCAAAACTTAAAGAATATTTATTAAGAGTAAACATGCTGGCGCTGCCTGGGTGTAGCCGACTCTGAGACAGATAATTCACTGTCACCCTTGACCCTGGTTTTCCTCCCACCCCCTGGGTGTATCGTAATTCATATTCTCCAATGGGACACATCCATAGCCAAGAGTCATCAATCATGTTCTCCGATTGGAGTTTTGTGCGGCAGAAACTCCAGTCGCTTAGTTATACTCTTTGCAAGATATGAATGGAATGCACTTTCGATTCCGAACTGCTGCATTGCTATTTCAAACTCCTTCTCCCCCTTTCTAATGGCAACTATAAAACGGGCATAGAAAATGTTTTATGAGTTGACATTGGCCTTTTTATCCACCTGTTGAGTCCTTCCCTGGAATGAGCAGATATTTAATAACAAGAACAACAAGAAAAGCAACAATAATAACAGCAATAATAACAACAACAATAATAATATAATTGCAGGACCTAAACTGTTCCAAGCATATCTTCCTTTTGCAATTGGTTATTATTATTTAAATGACAATATGTTGGCAAAAGATAATTGTTTCTTTGGTTTTTTTAAAAAAATGATTTTTCTTTCCTCCTTTAAGGTAACACATGTGCCTGGCTTTGGAAAAATAACTGGCAAAAACCAGGTCACTGTAACAAAAGATGATGGCAGCACTCAGGTTATCAATACGAAGAACATCCTTATAGCTACAGGTTCAGAAGTAACACCTTTCCAAGGAATTACGGTATGGCTTGGCTTTGAAGTTTAGCTATGGTAATATTCACCTGGAGTATTATTGATGTGATAATATTTTCTTTAAACTACCGTGTTTCCCTGAAAATAAGACTTAACTGGAAAATAAGCCCTAGTAGGATTTTTCAGGATGCTCATAAAATAAGCCCTATAACCGAAAATAAGCCCCAGTTAAGATGGTCAACCAGAAGGATCCACTTAGTACCTATTTTCTCCCCAAAATAAGACCTAACTGGAAAGAAAGACCTAATGCATCTTTTGGAGGTGTTATTTTCAGGGAAATAAGGTATTACTATATGGAAGTTATGGGTAACATTTCAGAGTTGTCCAACTGTGGCAACGTTAAGCCCTGTGGAGTTCAACTCCCAGAATTCCCCAGCCAGCATGGCTGGCAGGAATTCTGGGATTTGAAGTTCACAAGTCTTAAAAGTTGCCAAGGTTGGATGCTTCTGTAAATTTATATTTAAATTTCTTGGGTAAAGCTCTGTCCATCTAAAGAGGATTGTTTTTCTCTCAATTTATTTAGATTGATGAAGACACCATTGTATCATCCACTGGTGCGCTGTCTTTGAAACAGGTCCCTGAAAAAATGGTAGTCATTGGTGCAGGAGTCATTGGAGTAGAACTGGTGAGAAACAGGCTTGAAAAAATGTGTTTTTCAGTGTCTTTTATGGAATGCAATGGTTAGATAAGCTGGTGGGATGGATCCACTATCAAAGGATAACACCGGTTTTAAAATTGGAGCACGGTTTACCAGCCGATTTTGGGGCTAAATTCGAAGTTATTATCTACAAAGCCCGTACCAGAATATATCACTGCACTGCGAAATTTGAATATGCTGCAAATTCAGGTCCTGAACAACTCAAGCAGATCTCCTTCCTCCATTTTGGAAAATGCCCAGCCAGGCAGGGAGGGGAGGAATCAAGTAGGGAATTAGCCTTGAATCATTGCGGTAATAGTACAATAATGTAAATATAGGTCGTGTTTGGTGCGAAGTTAATGGTAAGGAGTGAGTACATAGTGTTTGAATTCATGCTTCTAGAGGCCTCTGGAGTTTATGTATTTATATCTCACCTTTATTATTTTGATAAACAACACAAAAAAGGTAAACATATGCATCTTTTCCCCATGACAATCACTCCGTGAAATGGTTGGGCTGACAGGGAATGGCCCAAAGTCACCCAGCCCTCTTTCATGCCTAGGGCGGGATTACACCTCACCATCTCCTGGTGATTGGCCCAGAGACACCCAACTGTCTTTCATGCCTAAGGCGGGACTAGAATTCACCATCTCCTGGTGATTGGCCCAAAGTCACCCAGCCATCTTTCAGGCCTAAGGCAGGACTAGAACTCTCGGTTGCCTGGTGATTGGCCCAAAACTCCTGTTTTGCATTGCACGCTCTACAAGAGGTCTTCTTGGTTGGCAGATGACTTGCCTGGCATACATTTTTGGAAATTATTTTTGGCATTGTATCATTAGGTAAGGGGAAAAAGAAAAGAAAATTAATGAATTAATCCCCTTCCCTCATGTGTCACACGACGTAAAAAGGGCGTGGATTTCAAATTGGAAGAATGTTCAATTTGATGGTGGATATATTAGTTTAATTGGCGTGAAGTCCGTTCACTGTTTTTGGAAACCTGTTGATCCCAGGGTTCAGTTTGGCAGCGTCTGGGTGCCGATGTGACAGCTGTGGAATTCCTGGGCCATGTTGGTGGACTGGGCATTGATATGGAGATATCCAAGAACTTCCAGCGCATTCTCCAGAAACAAGGACTTAAATTTAAACTCAACACAAAAGTCACTGGCGCCACCAAGAAACCTGATGGAAAGATTGATGTCGCGTAAGTAATTCAGTAGACAAATAACTGGATTTTAAGGCGTCTTCTCCCGTAAAACCTTCCTCCCTCTAGTATTAAGACTGGAAAACATGGTATATTTTCTGACAGAGAGTTGGGAAATATAAATTCGTTCGATATGATAGACAGGTGGTCCTCATATGGCTGCTGGAAATTTCTGTTGCTAAGTGAAACCTTGGTTAAGTGACTTTGCCCGATCTTACTACCTTTGCCGCAGTTGTGAAATGAAAAGCTGTAGTTGCTAAATTAATAATTTGATTTATAGTACGTCTATGACAACATACAGCCTAGTCAGCTTGTTTGGTGAACCTTTGATCTGTTGCTCTTGTATATGGTATCTGATCTTTTACTTGGAATAGAAAGAATAGAATTCTTTATTGGCCAAGTGTGGTTGGACACACAAGGAATTTGTCTTTGGTGCAAATGCTCTGTGTACATAAAAGAAACGATACATTCGTCAAGGGTCAAGAATCATCAGGTACAACACTTCATGATAGTCATAGGATACAATAAGCAATCAAATCACACTAGGAAACAGTCCATATAGATCGTAAGGATACAAGCAACAAAGTTACAGTCGTACAGTCACAAGTGGGAGGGGATGGGTGATAAGGAGTGTTGAGAAGATTAATAGTGATAGTAGTGCAGACTTTGTAAAATAGCTGGACAGTGTTGAGGGAATTATTTGTTTAGCAGAGTGATGGTATTTGTGGAAAAAACTCTTCTTGTGTCTAGTTCTGGTGTGCAGTGCTCTTTAGTGTCATTTTGAGGGTAGGAGTTGAAACAGTTTATGTCGGGGATGTGAGGGGTCTGTAAATATTTTCACAGCCCTCTTTTTAACTCGGGGTGCGGTATACAGGTCCTCAGTGAAAGGCAGGTTGGTAGTAATTGTTTTTTCTGCAGTCCTAATTACTCTCTGGAGTCTGTGTCTGTCCTGTTGGGTTGCAGAACCAAACCAGACAGTTATAGAGATGCAGATGACAGACTCAATCATTCCTCTGTAGAACTGGATCAGCAGCTCCTTGGGCAATTTGAGCTTTCTGAGTTGGCGCAGGAAGAACACTATTTGTTGTGCTTTTTTAATGATAAAGACTGACCGAAAATAAAATTTCTATTCCGACTTTGACACCTTGCAGTTCCCTGCCTCCAGATTTTCAGGCAGCCCTTCCCTTCTTGTCATTTCCAAAAGTCTTTCCCACTTCACTTTGACTTTTTAACCACGATTGAAGGTTTCTGGTGATAGTCAAGGAATTTTTTTTACTAATCCCTAGATTTTTTTCTCTCTTCCTACTCTTGTCTTTTGACTCTCTTAGACGTCCCCCAGGCTCTCTGCATTTTGGGCTGGTTGTAAAATCAACAGAAGGAATGAGAGTCATCAAGATTTAATTTTACTAGCTGATTACACTATATGTGCTCTCCTCCCCCCACCTCATTACATATGCTCTCACCCTCACCCTATTACAGAGAATCTTTGACTTATCACCATTCATTTAGTAACTGTTTGAAGTTACAACGGAATTTACAATTTTTCACACTTACGACTGTTGTTGCAGCATGTTGCAACATGGTCATATGATCTAAATTCAGTCACTTAGGCAACTGATTCACATTTATGACAGTTGCAGTGTTCCAGGGTCATGTGATAGAATAGAATAGGAATAGGAATTGAATAGAATAAAGAAAGAATAAGGAAAGTGTAGAAGAATAGAATAGGAATTAGAATAGAACAGAATAAAGAAAGAATAAGGAAAGAATAGAAGAATAGAATAGGAATTAGAATAGAATAGAATAAGGAAAGAAGGAAAGAATAGAAGAATAGAATAGGAATTGGAATAGAATGGAATGGAATAGGAATAGAATAAGGAAAAAATAGAAGAATAGAAATGAATAAAATAGAATAAAGAAAGAAAGAATTAGGAAAGAGTAGAATAGATATTAGAATAGAATAAGAAGAATAGAATAGAATAGAAATGAATAGAACAGAAGAGAAGGAAGGAACCTTGGAGGTCTTCTAGTCCAACCCCCTGCTTAGGCAGAAAATAAACATTTCAGCCAAATGGTTGCCCAATCTCTTCTTGAAAACCTAACAACGGTGTCCAAGATGGGGCAAAACAAACGTCTCACTTAGCAACAGAAATGTTGGGGCTCAGTTGTAATCGTATGTCAAGGACTACCTGTACTGACTTTTTAAAAAACCCTTTTCCTTAGAATTGAAGCCGCCACCGGTGGCAAAGCAGAGGTGATCCCTTGTGATGTCCTTCTGGTCTGTATTGGTCGGCGTCCCTTCACCAATAACCTTGGCCTGGAACAGGTGGGAGTTGAGCTAGATAACCGTGGAAGGATCCCAGTCAACAACAGGTTCCAAACCAAAGTTCCGAAGTAAGTTGAGATGCTTAGAATTGTGGTTTATATCGAACCAGATGAAGAACAGTTGCTCTATTAAGCATGATTTAACTCTCCTTTTTGCCAGGTTTAGTTCAGTCTGATAAGTGTTGTTCAAATCAGGAACGTATATAGCTAAATAAAACAGTCGTTTTGATTTCACATCCTTTGGATTAAAAAAAATGATGGGGGTCTAAATTCTATTTTTTTAATAAAAGTTTTTTATTTTTATTTTTTACACATCTCTACACGTGAGCAACGTGCTTCCAGATTACAACATTTACATCTATTTTGTTAAACATCACCTCCAACAATCATCCATTTCACTAATCTTTAGATAAATTTCCATTTCATATTTCAATTCATCAGTTCAATACCAATTTCATTTCATCCACACATATATTTTCAGTTCTTTATCCCCTATTATTTTCATTTTCAGCTTACCACCTATTTTATTTTACATTATACATCATGATCATATTTAGCTTTCTCTCAACCAATATAAGAGTAAAAAATAAAATGAAACTATTATATTTAGGATCCACATGGTATATCCCCCTAATCTACATTGCAATTATATAGTAGTCATATTTTTTCTTTATTTCCACTTAGCCAAACTTTGCCTATGTAATTTAATAAGTTTCCCCTACTTTTAATAATCAAAAATCATCATTATAAATATTTGGGGTCTAAATTCTACATGAGAAGACAATATACTTCAAATTTAAGTAATCTTTGTCTAAAAGCACTGGTATTTTTTTTTTTTTTGTTATTCATTCATTCTATTTGAATTCCATTTGAGGCCAAAAGGTAACCCTGCTCTTTACAGGTATACTAATATTTTATTTATTTATTTGGATTCTGCCTTTACTGTTTTTACAAATAACTCAAGGTAGCTAATACCTTGCTCCTTCCTTCCACCTTCCTTCTCCTATTTTCCCCACAACAACCCTGTGAGGTGGGGGTTGGACAGAGAATGAGTGACAGGCCCAAAGTCACCCAGCTGGCTTTCATGCCTAATAAGGCAGGACTAGAACTCAAAGTCTCCTTGTGATTGGCCGAGAGTCACCCAGGTGACTTTCATGACTAAGGCGGGACTAGAACTCAACCTCTCCTTGGGATTGGTCCAAAGAGTCCCAGCTGACTTTTACGGCTAAGGCGGGACTACAATTCACAGTCTCCTGGTGATTGGCCCAAAGTCACCCAGCAAGCTTTCATGGCTAAGGTGAGACTAGAACTCAAAGTCTTCTTGTGATTGGCCCAGAGTTACCCAGCCGACTTTCGTGATTAAGGTGGAACTAGAACTCACTACTTCCTACTTTATAGCATTGTGTCTTAACCCCTAGACCAAACTCTCTCATTCTAATTTTTTTTTTTTTAATTTGGCAGCATTTATGCAATTGGGGACGTGGTGGCTGGCCCCATGCTGGCTCACAAAGCTGAGGACGAAGGGATTCTGTGCGTTGAGGGAATGGCTGGAGGCGCCATTCACATCGACTACAACTGTGTGCCGTCAGTCATTTACACACACCCTGAAGTGGCCTGGGTTGGCAAGTCAGAAGAGCAGCTCAAAGAAGAGGTGCGTCTCATAATGTTTCTTTCTGGGTTGGGCATTTAAAAAGAGAAGAAGAAACGGTGATGTGAGGAGATTTCCAAGAAAAGTTTGGGTGACCATTTGCCTGGGGTGGTATAATGGACAGGAGGATGGACTAGAAGATCTCTAAGGTCCCTTCTAGCCCTATGATACTATGATGGGGTCCTCAAACTTGGCAAATTTTTAAGACTTGTGGACTTCCAACTCCCAAAATTTATGAATAACATAGTTGCATATAAATATTAAAATAAGATTTTGCAGAGTTGTATTTTTTAAATAATTTATTTTATATAATTTATTTTTATATAATTTTTATAGTTTATATTTTATTTTAATTTATTTTATATAATTTTTATAATTTAACTTTATATAATTTATTTTTATATGATTTATTTTATACCATTTTATATATTTTTTAAAATAATTTATTTAATTTTTTAAAAATAATTTATGAGTAACATAGTTGCATATAAAAATAATAAGATTTTGCAGAGTTCTATTTTTTATAGCTTTTTTTATAAGTAGTTTTATCATACTTAGATATAATTGAATTTTACAGTCTGCACCGTTTGGGCATTTTCAATTAATTCTACACTTTTAATACATTCTGTTTCCTTCTTCTTCATCAGGAGTTCACATTTGTTACGGTTTTAATTAATTTAAAAAGATAATGTTTTTGTGACTCGCAGCTCTAATCCAGACAAACCTTCTTGAGAAATGGGTTGATTTGATTTACTTAATTTACTTAAATTTAATTTGATTAATATTTTCCAAGTATTATCCGCACTCGGTCTTTTAAGTTCTTGGCTTTGTGTATTACACAGTTTTTCAAGGCCTCAAATATTGCTGGAATTCTGTCTTTAAATGCACATCTCAATGTATTGTCCTTCTTTGACCGATTCTCAATGTTTTTCATGACAGGAATGTCTTTTCTTTCTCATTTTTTAAAGCTGTGGCCTATTTTCACACATGAAGTTAACAGTGGTTTAGACCAGGGCTCTCCATACTTGGCCAATTTTAAGACTGGTGGACTTTCAACTCCCAGGATTCCCCATCTAGCCATGCTGGATGGGGAATTCTGGGAGTTGAAGTCCACACCTCTTAAAGTTGCCAAATTTGAGGACTCCTGTTCTATGAAATTCAAGCTTAAAGTGAAAACTGAACTGTCCCGTATTACACCAGCAATGGGGACCCTGGCCTTCGCTGTCTTCTGAAATTAAAAAGTTTGGACGGAGGTAAACTTGGCTAGGCTTTTATCTTCTAGAAAGTAGTGCCATAAGGTAACTGTTCTGATCTCGTGATCTCCAGGCCAATTGGTGGGTTCCCAATTTTTTTCCTACCAGTTCTATGTGGCGGTTCTAAGGGTGTAAGGTTTTGTTGTGTTTTCATCATCTCTTTGAGGGTAAAATCAGATTTTGTCTCCGTTTTTGTCTAAGAGCGAAGGAAAACTTCCGTGAATTTATGACGTTGGCTTGTTTTCAGGGAACAGAATACAAGATCGGTAAATTCCCTTTTGCGGCCAACAGCAGAGCCAAGACCAACGCTGACACTGACGGGATGGTGAAGATCTTAAGTCACAAAACAACAGACCGGATGCTGGGAGCACATATTTTAGGCGCCGTGAGTATGCTGAAGGATCTGCCCCTGTTGTAATGTTACACAACATTGAGTAACTTTTACTTCTAATCTATATATATAAAAGCAAAATACCATGCACGCATCATCACAAAATTTCAGAACCGTAAAGCCTACAAACTTGAAATTTGGCACATATGTTCCTCTTGGCTTCACAAAGAAAGGGTTTTTCCAAATGACCATCAGAGCATTAGTATTTCCTATATTATTATTATTATTAACACTCTCTGATGCTAAGGACTTCTACTCCCCACCCTACCTGAAAAGAAATCTCTTCCCAATGCAAAACACAAGCAGAGGAGAGGAGTTTCAGTTTCACAGCACCAAGCAGCTTTAATACAGAACAGCTGAGCTAAGCCACGCCCAGGCTCCTTACTGTCTCCTTGCAAATACTGCTTCAGTTTCCAAACAGCCCTCAACTCTCACACACTGACAGGACGCTAGCCAGATGAATATTGATGGATGCTGATAGGCAGAAATTTACACACACACCCTTATTTTCCTCCCCCAAAACTAAGCTCGACCACATAGTTTCATAGCGAAGCATGGATATTGAGCTAGTGCTTTATAGACTAGGAAACAGGTACTGACATATAAGCAATAGTTGATGTCTTGTAGAAAGGTAACTGACTGCATCTAAGGCTATTATAAAGCTTTTCCCCATATATAAGCAGTTGTGCAGTTGTTGTGCATGTGATTTTTTTTGAGGCTGCTGTTTTTAAAAACCATGAATACATACAACCGTTGTGGGTTCTTTTAGAATTACCACTGGGGAGGGAGAGCGATGGCTCATCAGTTAAAGATATGGAGTTGGAAAGTTGACAGTTGAGGTTCGAGACCCAAGCGCCACACAATGGGGTGAGCTCCCATTCCTTGCTCTAGCTCCTGCCCACCTAGTAATTCAAAAGCATGCGAATACGAGTAGATAGATACCAGTTCAATGGGAAGATTAGAGCGTTCCACATGCCTTTGGTGTATAGCCATGATGGTGAACCTATGGCACACGTTCCACAGGTGGCATGCAGAGCCATTTGTGTGGGCACACGAGTCCCAGCCAAACTTACCTGCACTGCGCATGCAGGTACCTCCCAGCTGATTTTCGGTCTGTTTGAGGCCGTTTTCGCCCTCTCAAAGGCTCGAGGGAAGCTTCTGCAGCCTTGGGAAGCCAAAAAACAGGCCTTCTGGAAATACCGGGTGTGCTGAAACGGGCCCATTTTTCGGCCTCCCAAGACTGCAGAGGCTTCCCTCGAGCCTCCGGATGGGCGAAAACAGCCTCAAGCGGACCGAAAATCAGCTGGGAGGTGTGCACATGGACAATGCAGGTAAAGGGCGGAGTGGGGGTGTTGCACGTACATGCGCAGGGGGGTGGGGCTCATTGCATTGGGGGTGCCAGTGTGTGCACGCTTTCGGTACACCACCACAAAAAGGTTCATCATTGGTGTATAGACATACTGGCCGTATCACCACAGAAATTGTCTTTGGACAAGGTTGGCTCCCTTGGCCAAGAAACAGTGATGAGTACTGCCCCCTAGAGTGGGACACGAGTGGACAGGGAAACCTTTATATTTTGGGGAGCCATTCTCATCCATCACTGTCATTATTCCTTCTCTAGGGTGCTGGTGAAATGGTTAACGAAGCCGCTCTGGCAATGGAATATGGCGCTTCATGCGAGGACGTAGCCAGAGTTTGCCATGCCCATCCGGTAAGTCCCCACAACTTGGTCATCCATGTTGAACATTATGGGAATTTATTTATTTGATCCCGCCTGTGTTATGACTACAAATAACTCAAGGTGGTGAATGGCTCCAGCATATCTCCCTCCTATTTGCCCTACAACAACAGCCCTGTGAGGTAAACTGGACTGGGTGGGGGGAGAGAGAGAGAGAGAGTGACTGGCCCAAAGTAACCCAGTTGGCTTTCATGGCTAAGGTGAAACTAGAACTCATCGTCGCTTAGTGATTGGCCCAAAGTCAACCAGCTGGCTTTCATGCCTTAGGTAGGACTAGAACTCACCAGCTCCTGGTGATTGGACCAAAGTCAACTGGATGGTTTTCATGCGTAAGGAGGGACTAGAATTCACTGCCTCCTGGTGGTTGGTCCAGTCACCCAGCTGACTTTCATACCTAAGGCAGGACTAGAACTCACCAGCTCCTGGTGATTGGCCCAAAGTCACTCAGTTGGCTTTCATGCCCCAAGATGGGACTAGAATTCACTACCTGCTGGTGATTGGCCCAATGTCAGTTGGATGGCTTTCATGCCTAAGGGAGGAGTAGAACTCACCGTTTCCTGTTTTCTAGCCTTGTGCCTTAACCACTAGCTCTTAGACTTATATACCGCTTCCCAGTGCTTCAAAGCCCTGTAAGCAGTTTACAGAGTCAGCCTGTTGCCCCCAACAATCTGGGTCCTCATTTTACCCACCTCGGAAGGATGGAAGGCTGAGTCAAACCTTGAACCGGTCAGGATGGAACTGCTGGCAGTCGGCAGAATTAGCCTGCAGTACTGCATTCTGACCACTGTGCCACCAGGGCTCTTAGACCACAAGTGGCTCTCTATTAAAGTTCTTCATCATTCATAATTGATGAAAGATCTACATCAGGGGGTCTCCAACCTTGGCAACTTTAAGACTTGGGGACTTCAACTCCCAGAATTCCTCAACCAGCAAAGCTGGCTGAGGAATTCTGGGAGTTGAAGTCCACAAGTCTTAAAGTTGCCAAGGTTGGAGACTCCTGGTCTACATCATTGCATTGATTTTCCTTTCTTATCTTCTCTCCCATTCATATCTCCATTTTTTTTTCCTGTGTCCCCTCCGCAGACCGTATCTGAAGCTTTTAGAGAAGCAAACCTAGCAGCTTCCTTTGGCAAAGCGATCAACTTTTGAAGTGAAGGAACATCATATTTTTTCCCCCTGTGAAACCGACCAAAGACTTGATGGAAAAATCTGGTTTTTGCAATACTCCCGGGCCTTAATTGAGTGAACTTTTGTTCCAAAAAAAAATTATTTAAACAAATAGGGGTTTGGATTTAATTAACCAACACCTGTATATTATATTACCAATACTATATTTGCATTATTGATTGTTCATTCTTAAGTTTCACAGAAGAAAAAGAGCAGCCGTATCAGCTAATTTGTTTGGAGCGATCTTCAAAGGTCCCATCATGTATTTTTGTTCAAATATAGTGTCTAATATTAACTCCATGTTGTTGCTTTGTCATTGTTGAGGAAATGGGCTTATCCTGATGATTTAAAATAAGCCATAGCCACCTTCGCACAATGCAGTTAACAAGTGAAGTGAAAGCGAACAATAGACTTAAATCGGATTTTATAGATAACATATATGTGTTTAAGAATATTTGAAACTTGATTCATTTTATCCTCGATCACAATGTAAAGGGACGTTTAAAATAGCAATGGACCTATGCTATATCAGTAATCACTTGCAAACATTTTTAAGAGCAGAAAACTCCTTTGTTTTAGTGACACTTTGTAAAAGAGAAAAAGATGATACACCTCTGTGCTTGATAATTATTATTTTTTCTTTGGTGAAGTTTCTTGGTTTCCAAATTTGTAAAACTGTATCTTGAGAGTTTAAAATACAGAGGGAAAAACTTAAATTATGTTGGCGTCGTAATACAAAATGGTTTTTGTGTTTTATTATTCTCTGGGCGATGGTGTGGTCTCTGATAGCTTCCCCCCCACCCCATTCCTGAAGATAAAGTACTATATAGTAAGATGGGTAGAGATCTTTTGTTATTCATAACTGCCTTGTTTTTAACGAAGATTTAACTTTGAAATAGAAAGGGACAAGAATTAGTTATATTTGTTTGCTTCTTGTATAAAACAGGAACTGTTCAAAACTTGGAGTTCATCTTGGACATAGGAAAAAAGGAATCTTTTCAGTATTCAAAAACAATAAAGATAAAAGTACCCTATGGACAATATACGTTTTTTGAATGTAAAGCATAAACATTCTTTGGAGATTAAACTGGAGATCAAAACATATGAAGAATGGTTATAGGACTTGGCTATGTCTAGTCCAGTGTGGGTGGCTAACCTTTTGGGGCTCCTGTGCCAAAAATTATGCGTGTGCTTGCACGCTCATGCTCATGTGCCAGCACCCAGATGGCATTGTGCGCCCCCCTACACCCTATCCATGTGCGCGCAATCCCCACCCCCACTGCCCCTCACCTGCACTGCGCCTCACAGCAAATTTTCGGCTGGTTTGAGGCCTTTTTCGGCCTCCCAGAGGCTCAAGGACGGCTTCTGCAGGCTTTGTAGGCCGAAAACTAGCCCTCTTTTATCACTTCTGATATTTTCAGAAAAACAGAAAGTGATGAAACAGGGCTAGTTTTCGGCCTGCAAAAGCCTTTCTCAAGCCTTTGGGAAGCCGAAAAAGGCCTCAAACCGGCTGAAAATCAACTGTGAGGCACGCACATGCGCAGTGAGGTAAGTTTGCCTGCAACTCGCGTGCCAGCACAAATGGCTCTGCGTGCCACCTGTGGCACATGTGCCATAGGTTTGCCATCACGAACCTAGTCTCATGAAAAGAACGACTGGGGCAGATACGATAGCAGTCTTCCAATATTTGAAGATATCAGAGATGAGGGAGCGCAAACTATTTTCCAAAGCACCAGAAGGCAAGACAAGAAATGATGGATGGAATCTAATCAAGCAGAGAAGCAACCTGGAGTTTAGGAGAAACTTCCTAACGGCGAGGACAATTAATCAGTGGAATGGCTTGCCCTTAGAAGTTGTAGGTGCTCCATCACTGGAGGCTTTTAAAAAGAGACTGGACAACCAATTATCTCAAAGTATACTCATTATTTTTAAATACATTGGTTTAGAACATAGAGTTGAAAGTCTTTGGAGGTCTTCTGTCTCGTCCAGCTCGAGCAGGGGGTTGGACTAGAAGGCCTCCAAGATCCCTTACTATTCTATGTTCTAAACCAGTGATGGCGAACCTTTTTGTTGTGGTGTGCCGAAAGCCCATGCACGCATGTGCTGGCACCCACAATGCAATGTGCCCTGCCCCCCCACGCATGTGCACGCAACACCCCTGTGCCTTGTCTGTGCTGTGCATGTGTGCACCTCCCAGCTGATTTTTGGCCCATTTGAGACCTTTTTCTCCCTCCCGGGGGCTTGAGGGAAGCCTCTGCAGCCTCGGGAGGCCGAAAAACGGGCCTGTTTCAGCACTTCTGGTATTTCCGGAAGACTCGTTTTTCAGCCTCCCAAGGCTGCAGAAGCTTCCCTCAAGCCTCCGGGAGGGCAAAAACAGCCTCAAACAGGCCAAAAATCAGCTGGGAGGCGCACGCATGCGCAATGCAGGTAAATTTGGTTGGGGCTCGCGTGCCTGCACAAATGGCTCTGTGTCCCACTTGTGGCACGCGTGCTATAGGATCGCCATCAGTTCTAAACCAATATATTTAAGAATAATGACTTTTTTAAATCAAGGGTTTAAAATCAATCAAGGTTGAACACCTCTGATCTAAAGTTTTATCTTGACTGATCTAAAATTTACCTTGACGCATTCCCCTGGCGATAGTCTCTCCCAAAATTTGCTGCTTCTTCCTACTCTCCTCCTCACTCACTTTCGTCACAAATCCTGAACTGCCACTTTTTCTAGCACTGGCTGGCACTAGGCCGGAGAGCAAAATCCCTCTTGCTAATTTAATCAGTTGTAGCTTTTAAAAATCTTTCCCGGCAGGTTGTGCGGTTACTGGAAAAACTCCCAGTCTTTAACCCAATTAGTCAAGAAATCTTGAAGCACAGTCAAGTACTCCACAAACTTAAAAACATCTCCAAAAAGTTTTGGAACAAGACGGTTTGTTTTATGCACTGGATTATTTTTTTAATCGAAAGATTGGGCATCCTCGAGTCAAAATTAAGTGGTTAAAAACCCCGTGTTTTGATACTCGGATTTTATTAGCAGAATGTGAAAAGGGTTCATTGTGCTTTTGGATAATAAAAGTAACATTGGAGTGAGGCTAACTAGGGTTAAAAGAGGCATATCCTTGGTTACAAAGTAGTAGTTTTATTTTACAAAACGAGAAAAAATATGCTGGTATCTGGTCAGATTACGACAGGTTCCATTAGACCAATTTTCAAAAGAAATATATTTTGTTTTGTGTTCTTTCGTTTCTTTTTTCTGACTTCTAGCAGGTGCTATAAATTGCAACTTTTTGACTAATGGCTTGCAAGAGGCCTCTGACGGTTTCTTCCAGTTCGACGACTTGCTGAGCTTTGTCTTCCAGGATTTTTTGATTTTTTTCGTATGTGTCTTCCAGTTCTGCAAGAAGAAAGAGAGCACGGGAGCATTTTAGCCACGACACGCATGGGATAATTTGAGAAATTCATAGCAATAGCAGTAGCAGGCTGATATATTGCTTTACAGCCCTCTCTAAGCAGTTTAGAGAGCCAGCCTGTTGCTCCCAACAATCGGAGTCCTTGTTTGACCCCTCTCGGAAGGACAGAAGGCTGAGTCAACCTTCAGCCGGTCAGGATCGAATTGGCTGTGGGGAGATTCAGCCTGCAATACTGCAGTCTAACCATTGCGCCACTACAGCATAGATAGCAATAGCATTTAGACTTATATACCGCTTCATAGTACTTTACAGCCCTTTCTAAGCGTTTTATAGATTCAGTATATTGTCCCCAACAATCTGAGTCCTTGTTTGATAGACCTTGGAAGGACAAGGCTGAGTCAACCTTGAGCCGGTCAGGATCGAACTCCTGGCAGAATTAGCCTAGAATACTGCACTCTAACCACTGCACCACTACGTCTTAGATAGCAATAGCACTTCGATTTATCCTATTGGTTCATAGTGTTTCACAGCCCTCTCTGGGCGGTTTACAGACTCCGCATAATGTCAACAATTCGAAAACTGAGTCAACCTTGAGCCCCATCAAGATTGAACTCCAGGCTGTGGGCAGAGTCAGCCTTCAATGCTGCATTCTAACCACTGAGCCATCACGGCAGAGATCGCAATAGGGCTTAGAGTTATATACCACTTCACAGGGTTTTACAGCCTTCTCTAAGCGGTTTACAGAGTTAGCCTATTGCCCCCAACAATCTGGGTCCTCATTTTACTGACCTTGGAAGGATGAAAGGCTGAGTCAACCTTGAGCCCCATCAAGATCGAACTCCAAATACCACTTTCTAACCACTGTGCCACCATGGCTCTTTCAAGCAAGCAAATCAAATCTTTCTCTCAATGCTTTGGCTTCATTAAAGAGAGAGGGAAACACCCCTCCCCAGATCCCTTTGATAATGGATGTTTTTCATCACTTAAAATGCCAGAGGGCAGGGGAAAAAAAGGACTCTCCTATAATTGAAAACAGTCTTCTTTAAAAAAAAAAGAAGAAGAAAACAAGAAAATGGCAACACCTTCCCATCCAATGCATACCTTTGAGAAGCTGAAGTTTTCTGTTCGCTTGCTCTAGCAAAATTTTTGCTTCATTTTGCAGCGCTTCTGCTTTCTTCCTGGCATTTGCAGACTCCCCTGTTTTCTTGGCAATTAGGTTTTCTACTGTTTTGTATTTCTCATTCACACTGTCATCTAGTATCTATAATGAGAGAGAGGGGAAAATAGAAAGAAAAAAGAAAAAGGGTGAGAGAAAGAAAAAAGAGAAAGAGAAAAAGAAAAAGAGAAGGAAAGAGACAGAGAAAGAGATGTAAGAAAGTGATTATATTACCCCAAACGACTGAGATATTCCAGCCTTTTGCTTAACATCATTGCCTTTAAATACAGGTAGTCTTTGACGTATGACAGGTCGTTTAAGGACTATTAATAGTTAACAACAGACATTTTAAAAATGTATTGTCTGCCCATCTTAATACAGGATAATTCTGGCCACCTTCAGCTATCGATTTTAAGAAGAGCATGCCAGTTTCCTTCTTATGAACTTGTCCACTTTGGCATCATGGGCATCCGTAGGATTGTGCTGCCCTCATCAAAATGACAGAAGAGGCATTGTGCCATCATTATTGCGAAACCCACCCCAAGGGGCTTGTGATGACCCGGGGCGTGGCACAAAAGGAAGCCTGAGAAATCCAGGAATGGGCCTGTTTCCAGCTACCAGAGGGCCTTCAGAGCCTGGGGAAGGCCGTTTTTGCCCTCCCAGAGGCTCGAGGGATGCCTCTGGACCCATGGGAAAGTGAAAAACAGCCTTCCCGGAAGTTCCGGTAGGCCACGCCCACCATGGCCATGCCCACCCAGCAACTGGGCAGCGAACCGGTTGCTGGGATTTTTGAATCCCACCCCTGCTTCCAAGGCTGACATTAAGAGCACCCTAGGTTCCCTATCAAACCCCCCAGTGAGATATCAATGCTTACTTTTTGAACGTCGGCGGTCGTTCGATCAACCATGGCGATATTTTCTTCAGCGGCTTTGATATCCTCTGTGTTGGTAGCAGCCTTCTGTCTAAGCGTTTCCACGTCCTTCTCTAGTTCTGCAATGCGCAGGGTCGCGTTCCCCAAACGGTCTTCCACTGAGCCGGCCTCCGATGCAATCTAGCCCCGAAGGGATGAAGGGAGAGGGGAAAAAAAAACAACACACGAATTTCTTCTCAAAATGTTACGTTTTCAAGATT